CAAACAGCCCAAACTAACAACCTGTGACCATAATTAATGAAGCACTTGAAAATGTAAAACATCTCACATATCTTAGTAGTGTGGTGTCCCTACTGGGAGGGACAGAGGAAGACATACAGTCACGCCTGAAAAAAAAAGCTACATCTGCTTTAGGAAGGATGAGGCAAATCTGGAAATCCAACAATTACTGCAGAGGAACGAAACTTCGACTCTACAAGAGCATTATTTTTCCAGTTCTTCTTTGTGGAGCAGAATGCTGAAGAATGACCAAAAAGGGTGCTCACAACTTATCCACCTTCCACCACAAATGTCTACGTAGAATTATCAAAATTTTCTGGCCAGATACAATCTCAAACACTAAACTACGTCAAGTCACAAACCAAGAAACTCTAGACAGTATGATAACCAAGAGAAGATGAAAATGGTTCGGCCACGTTATGTAAATGAATCCTGATATACCTGCCAAAACAGCTCTCACGTGGACAATAGAGGGAAAGAGAAAAAATGGGCGCCCAAAAACAACATGGAGACGAACGATGGAGAGTGACCTGAATGCGGCATCTCTGACATGGAATACTTCACTGAAGATTGCACAAGACAGGAAAGCATGGAAAGTCCTCTCTGAAGCCTTATGTGCCACTAGGCCTAATGAGAATTGATGATGATGATGTAAGTTTCGGGTCCTGTTTATCTTTAAGAGCTGCTTCACCATGTACGAACATTTCCATCAAAACTGTTGCTCATGATCGTCAATGCGTGATTGTATCGTTGATGACAACAAACCTTCAAAAGCCTGACAATAAATACAGTTCCGCCAAAACGATTCTTTCAAAAGTAACAAGAAGACTTTACCAGCCTTTTCAGAATTTTAACAAATGTTAGTGATTAAAATTGAGAAGACGACTTTCATTGCACCCGCTTTTACCTTAATGATCAGATCTCTGTAAGCAAATACTTTTCTTTCCGCCAATGTGCGTCACACAAAGTACGAACTCCGTAGCTTCAGCGATGAATACTGTAGATTCCCATAGAAAGTGCCTTTGTAAACCGACATAGGAAGTCTAATAATAAATTGATGATCTCCACAGTCGAGCGGTTTAATCACGGAGAAAAGAAACAACTCTGCCTTCACAGTCTGACCCAGCATTTCTTCGCTCAGAAGTTAGAGCACTATCCCTAAACATTACTGCCTCTCTGGCTTTGGAACCGAACCTGTATACGGCTGGGTGCTATCAATGCTGTTCGAAATCAGACTGGCTTTTATCAACAAAGAATATGGCTTTTATCAACAAAGAATATGACTTTTATCAACAAAGAATATGGCTTTTATCAACAAAGAATATGGCTTTCAGCGACAACGAATATATGCGTTTGGTAAAATCATAAATTATTTTAAGACTTCTGTAAACCTAGTTCATAAACCGGAAAGCCGACTAAAGTCTAACAACGGTCTGTGTTTGCTTAACCATTCCCAATTAGGGCAGGTTTACGCCCGAGTGTAGGCCGCATTTTTTTAAATTTTTATTTTTAAAACCCCAGTCCGGGGTCCTTAATATAACCTAACGGTAGAACCAGGTTTCTATGATTTGTGCCCTGGTGATTCTCATCCTGATGGTGGCACTTTTTGCCATCGGGTGTTTACTGCTGGCTGTACAGTCCTGGTGGGGTTAAACTTCACTCGTTTACCGTTCAAATATCTTAGGTTAAAATATGAACAACATTTAGTCAGTCGAGGAAACTTCATGTTAGTGGGAAAGGAGAAGAAAAGACGACAGCCTCTCTCTCTCTCTCTCTCTCTCTATATATATATATATATATATATATATATATATATATATATATATATATATATATATATATATAGATATATATATGAGTGCGAGTCGTTCAGCGGTTAGACGCCCTCATGCGGACCCGAAGGTCGTGTGTTCAAATGTGAATGGAATGTTTTTTTTTTTCATACGTAACTTTTGCTCAGCCTTAAAAGGGTACCAGGTAAAGTCTTGGGAAGTAAATGCGGCCGGTGTGAAGTTGACCACACAACCCACTGAGAGCAAATAGGTTTATAAAATACATGACTAACACTATAAGACTAATAAGCCTACAGATGTGGGAAATGGTCCTTTACTTTTGTGCAGTCTGACCTAAAGCTTCTGAAGCTGGAGGCCAAAGAATTATCTCGAAGCAATTTATGAGTGAAGTCTCTTTCGGCCAGCATTTGACACAGCGGTTGTGAAACTATGGGTCGAGACCCTTTTTTGGGCCAACCGATCCTTCCACAGGGGGTCGCCAGAGGCCATTGCAAAACCCATATTCATTGAAGTTATGAAGAAGTGACGAAAATAATTGTATGGTTGGAAGTCGCCATAACATGATGAAAAAAAAATTTATATTATATTAAAAAGTCGCAGCTTTAAGAAGATTGAGAAACACTGATCTAACAGGGGTCAGTTTTGGACATCCTAAAGAGCCACTTATGTTATACTAGTATGAATGTGATAGTCTAGTCCAAATGTGACCTTCTAGGAAGTTTGGACACACTGTGACTAGTCCAGCAAACCGACAGTGGTTAATTTAGTGCTCGTAGAAAATTAAAGAGGCCCTTTCCAATTTCTCGTCTTGCCCTGATGCTGATCGGCATTCCAGGAGTAGAGAGACAAGAAGAAGTCACATGTCCGGATTCGCCAGTGCCTTGTAATGGGACCTTTATTCTATTCGATTAAGCAGTAAAGCAAGAGTTTACAAATTGTGACGGTTTTTTTCCTAACCAGAATTTTTCTCTATTTCTACTTCCTAGGATGGAACTACAACATGACGGATATGTTTGGTAAGTGTGTATTTGGTCAAGAGTCTGTCGGTTGGTGAGTATAAAGTCGGTAAAGACGGGAAGACATGCAGACAGAAAGGCAGACAGACAGTCGTAAAACACTCATGACGTAATTATCTTCCTACAGTCATTTTTTCCCCCAGAAAATTTCGTGTTCAGAAATTTAAAGAAATTACAGTCGCATAGACAGACCGGCATACAAATCAACAAAAGAGCGGGTAAAAGAATAAAGAGAGGAGAAGGTGAATGAGAAGCAGAAGAAAAAATGAAGAAGAGGATGACAGAAAAAAAACGAAGAGGGAGAGGTGTAGGGGGATGAGAAGAAGACTAAGAAAAATAACAACAACAACAGAACAAAAAGAAGGATACATCCAGGAGATAGTATACTAAAAAAGCTTGCATTCAGTTGAAATTGGGTTGCCATGTTTAGTCTTTGTTGCTTCCATTCTTATACTTTGTGTAAAATTACAGAAAATATATAGTACCTATGTTTATGGTACTGATCAGTAAAGGTCCTATCACTTCTGAGGACAGAACCCGGATCACTGTATTGAAAAGCAAGCAAGAAGAAAGCTATTGACTATAACACGCTTGTTTTGTTCCCTCTGCTGTAAACCTTAACGAGGGCTTCATGGGTATATTATCTTGGATATGTAGGAGTCCGAGGGCATGAAAGAGTGGATATTTTGGCTAAAAGAGCAACAGACTTAGGTATACTCCTCTTTCACAAGACGGGCATACTGAAGACTATTTATTAAAAATGAATATTATAAAAAGAGGAAGGCCAAAGAGAAAATAGGTGCCGGATGTGGCGGATGATCTCCAGATGGGTGTATCGGATACGAGTCATCTTGCTTGTGATCGAGAAGTTTTCCGGAAGGTTGTTATGGGAGCAAGGTCCTGCAAAGGACATGCTACTGTTGTGACTGATTAGAAGATAGGTTGTTGGATAAAACAACATGTGTACGATTTAAATAGCTTTGAATTAAGCGAGGATCCAGTGTGAAAGGACGGACATCTGGGAGAAAGTGAACTACGTTCCCACCGCCGCGATTTACTCCATCTTTCTCCTCGTGAGGGGGCCGCGTTGTCTAGAGGCAGGATGTTCGCCTCGAGTTCTAGAGGTTCCAGGTTCAATCCCCAATTAGGGCTCGGATTTTTTCACGTAGACTTGGACTTCTAATAATTTCTCCTGGTCTCTGGATAGTGAGATCGGACGCCCGTGTGCATTGTTGCGCACGTAAGAAAAAAATTCCTTGGCAGCTGGAAATCGAAAAGAGTAGCCAAACGGCGCTGCCCGGGCAAAATTTGGAGTTACAAATCTACACAAAGTATTTCGGGATCCTCGCCGGTGCTACAGAGCCTGTGCACTGTGCTGAGCTTCTTTGGGCTCATACTTGAGTTAGAAGAGGAACCGAGCACTTATGGGTTGCTACGACCCGTGTGTCATGATGTTGATCCGTTGTTCAAACCCCAAACCACAAACCTCCCCGTCTCAGTATATGATCAACAAGTGTAGACTGTCTCCTTACAATGTGGGAATTCGGTTTTCTTTATCAATAAATTTTGTTTTGTTTTCTTTTGAGCCATCTTCATTACTGTTTTATCTGTCCATGCTATCTCATCGTTCGTCTATAAGACCACATCTCGCCGCTTCCAAATAAATTGTTCAATAAATTTCTAACTGACAATAAATCAACCTCTATATACTAGGATAGGAATGATACAGCTCTTGAGAATTCTCTTTAGCACCTCAAATTACAAAGAATTATTGCGTAGAATATTCTTCATTTTGTCGAATGCTGCCTTTTTTTTAGCTGTTCTACATTCAATTTTCATTTTTGTTTATCTTCCATTTGCCGTTATTAAAGTACCAGGTAATACAGGTGCATTTGTTTGTTATGTTATATAATCACAATCGACTTCTTTGCACGATGGGTATTCCTTTGCATGGTCAGTCCTCGCATGCAGCAGCCATTCCAAGGTGCCTCTAAGGATTGTTTCCGTGAGGAGTTGGTTAAAGTATCTCCTGTCTTTACCTCAAAGACGCATCGATGTGCTTCGTCAAGCTTAACTCCTCAGTCACGCAATCGTGTTAGCGTCAGAGATTCAACATTATTCAACAACAAATTCTGTACAGCGTTGATGTTTAGGTGAATTTGTTTATCTTCAGGCGGACCAGAACATTGGTACACGACCTTCCCAGACTGTGGTGGGGTCATGCAGAGCCCCATTGATATAATAACCAGTGAGGTCCTCTATGACCCCAATCTTGACCTCTTGGACTTTTCTGACTACAAGACCACCAGTGGCGTCAGAATGACCTTGGAGAATGTCGGCGGTCATACAGGTCTGTGGAGTGTAATGTCTGTTGAGTTTAATGCCTTTCTGTGGAGTGTAATGTCTGTTGAGTTTAATGCCTTCCTGTGGAGTGTAATGTCTGTTGAGTTTAATGCCTTTCTGTGGAGTGTAATGTCTGTTGAGTTCAATGCCTTTCTGTGGAGTGTAATGTCTGTTGAGTTTAATGCCTTTCTGTGGAGTGTAATGTCTGTTGAGTTTAATGCCTTTCTGTGGAGTGTAATGTCTGTTGCGTTTAATGCTTTTCTGTGGAGTGTAATGTCTGTTGAGTTTAATGCCTTTCTGTGGAGTGTAATGTCTGTTGAGTTTAATGCCTTTCTGTGGAGTGTAATGTCTGTTGAGTTTAATGCCTTTCTGTTGAGTGTAATGTCTGTTGAGTTTAATGCCTTTCTGTGGAGTGTAATGTCTGTTGAGTTTAATGCCTTCCTGTGGAGTGTAATGTCTGTTGAGTTTAGTGCCTTTCTGTGGAGTGTAATGTCTGTTGAGTTCAATGCCTTTCTGTGGAGTGTAATGTCTGTTGAGTTTAATGCCTTTCTGTGGAGTGTAATGTCTGTTGAGTTTAATGCCTTTCTGTGGAGTGTAATGTCTGTTGAGTTCAATGCCTTTCTGTGGAGTGCAATGTCTGTATGTGGAGTGTAATGTCTACCCGGGGAGCGTAATATCTGTCTATAAATCCTGTCTGTGTATATAATGTCTGCTGTATTTGTCTTTGGGGTGTTATTTCTCTCTGTGGGGTGTAATGTATGTGGAGTGTAATGTTTGTGGAGTGTAATGTCTATATGTATAGTGTAATTTCTATATGTGGAGTGTAATGTCTGTAGAGTGTAATGTCTGTGGAGTGTAATGTCTTTCTGTTGAGTGTAATGTGTGTGAAGTGTAATGTCTATCTGTTTAATTCCAGCATTTTCTGGTCTTTGTGTATGCATTTTTAATGTCTATATGTATAGTGTAATGTCCATATATGAAGTGTAATATCTGTGGAGTGTAATGTCTGTGGAGTGTAATGTCTGTGACGTGTAATGTCTGTGGAGTTTAATGTCTGTGAAGGTAATGTCTGTGGAGTGTAATGTCTGTGAAGTGTAATGTCTGTGACGTGTAATGCCTGTGAAGTGTAATGTCTGTGGAGTGTAATGCCTGTGGAGTGTAATGTCTGTGGAGTGTAATGTCTGTGAAGTGTAATGCCTGTGGAGTGTAATGTCTGTGGAGTGTAATGTCTGTGGAGTGTAATGTCTGTGGAGTGTAATGTCTGTGGAGTGTAATGTCTGTGGAGTGTAATGTCTGTGGAGTATAATGTCTGTGGAGTGTAATGTCTGTGGAGTGTAATGTCTGTGGAGTGTAATGTCTATATGTAAAGTGTAATGTCTGTGGAGTGTAATGTCTGTGACGTGTAATGTCTGTGGAGTGTAATGTCTGTGGAGTGTAATGTCTGTGGAGTGTAATGTCTATATGTAAAGTGTAATGTCTGTGGAGTGTAATGTCTGTGACGTGTAATGTCTGTGGAGTTTAATGTCTGTGAAGGTAATGTCTGTGGAGTGTAATGTCTGTGAAGTGTAATGCCTGTGGAGTGTAATGTCTGTGGAGTGTAATGTCTGTGGAGTGTAATGTCTGTGGAGTGTAATGTCTGTGGAGTGTAATGTCTGTGGAGTGTAATGTCTGTGGAGTATAATGTCTGTGGAGTGTAATGTCTGTGGAGTGTAATGTCTGTGGAGTGTAATGTCTATATGTAAAGTGTAATGTCTGTGGAGTGTACTATCTGTGACGTGTAATGTCTGTGGAGTGTAATGTCTGTGAAGTGTAATGTCTGTCTGTATAATTCCAGTATTTTCTGGTCTGTGTGTATGCATTTGTAATGTCTACCTTGTAATAGCTTATCTATCGTAATAAAGATGACGACCATACTGATGATGTCGATGACAGTGATGGTAATGATGATGAAGATAGAGAAGATGATGTGGATGATGATGATATCAATGATGGTGAACATAATCTAATGAGGACGATGATGCCTATAACGATGATGCCTATAACGATAATGCCTATAACGATGATGCCTAAAACGATGATGCCTATAAAAATGATGCCTATAACGATGATGTCTATGACGATGATGCCTATGACGATGATGCTGATGATGATGATAGAGAAAATTATGATAAGGATGATGATGATGAGGATATTAACGATGATGTCCTTGTGGTCTATGCCTGCCCACACAGCTGAAGTCCTCTTCTCCGGCACCGAGATCTACCTGAAAGGCGGGGCTCTCCCAGACGAATACAAACTGGAGCAGTTCCATTTCCACTGGGGGCAGAACAGTCGCCGGGGTTCCGAGCATGCCTTCAACGGCTACCACTATCCCATGGAGGTACGCTTAGTCACTGTGGTAGAGCGGCAGTTAGATTACTGTGGTAGAGTGGCAGTTAGATTAGTGTGGTAGAGCGGCAGTTAGATCACAGTGGTAGAGCGGCAGTTAGATTACAGTGGTAGAGCGACAGTTAGATTACAGTGGTAGAGCGACAGTTAGATCACTGTGGTAGAGCGGCAGTTAGATCACAGTGGTAGAGCGGCAGTTAGATCACTGTGGTAGAGCGACAGTTAGATTACTGTGGTAGAGCGACAGTTAGATTAGAGTGGTAGAGCGGCAGTTAGATTACTGTGGTGGAGCGACAGTTAGATTACAGTGGTAGAGCGACAGTTAGATCACTGTGGTAGAGCGACAGTTAGATTACAGTGGTAGAGCGACAGTTAGATTACTGTGGTAGAGCGGCAGTTAGATTACAGTGGTAGAGCGGCAGTTAGATTAGAGTGGTAGAGCGGCAGTTAGATTACTGTGGTAGAGCGGCAGTTAGATTACAGTGGTAGAGCGGCAGTTAGATTACTGTGGTAGAGCGGCAGTTAGATCACAGTGGTAGAGCGGCAGTTAGATTACTGTGGTAGAGCGACAGTTAGATTACAGTGGTAGAGCGGCAGTTAGATTACTGTGGTAGAGCGACAGTTAGATTACTGTGGTAGAGCGGCAGTTAGATCACAGTGGTAGAGCGGCAGTTAGATTACTGTGGTAGAGTGACAGTTAGATTACTGTGGTAGAGCGGCAGTTAGATTACTGTGGTAGAGCGGCAGTTAGATTACAGTGGTAGAGCGACAGTTAGATCACTGTGGTAGAGCGGCAGTTAGATTACTGTGGTAGAGCGGCAGTTAGATCACTGTGGTAGAGCGACAGTTAGATTACTGTGGTAGAGCGACAGTTAGATTACAGTGGTAGAGCGACAGTTAGATTACTGTGGTAGAGCGACAGTTAGATTACTGTGGTAGAGCGACAGTTAGATCACAGTGGTAGAGCGGCAGTTAGATTACTGTGGTAGAGCGACAGTTAGATCACTGTGGTGTGTGGAAGGATAGTAGCGTTTTTTTTTTTTTTTGAGGTGGTGTAGTGACAGTACGATTGACTGAGGGAGGGAGGAAGGAGTGAGTGAGTGATTGAGTGAGTGTGTGAGTGAGTGAGTGAATGAGTGAATGAGTGAGTGAGTGAGTGAGTGAGTGCGTGCGTGAGTGAGTGAGTGAGTGAGTGAGTGAGTGAGTGAGTGAGTGAGTGAGTGAGTGAGTGAGTGAGTGAGTGAGTGAGTGAGTGCGTGCGTGCGTGCGTGAGTGAGTGAGTGAGTGAGTGAGTGAGTGAGTGAGTGAGTGAGTGAGTGAGTGAGTGAGTGAGTGAGTGAGTGAGTGAGTGAGTGAGTGAGTGAGTGAGTGAGTGAGTGAGTGAGTGAGTGAGTGAGTGAGTGAGTGAGTGAGTGAGTAAGTGAGTAAGTGAGTTAGTGGATGAATGAGTGAGTTAGCGGGTGAGAGAATGATTGAATGAGTGAGAGAGCGGGTGAGTGAGTCAGTGAATGAGTCGGTGAGTGAGTGAGTGAGTGAGTGAGTGAGTGAGTGAGTGAGTGAGTGAGTGAGTGGGTGGGTGAGTGAGTGAGTGAGTGAGTGAGTGAGTGAGTGAGTGAGTGAGTGAGTGAGTGAGTGAGTGAGTGAGTGAGTGAGTGAGTGAGTGAGTGAGTGAGTGAGTGAGTGAGTGAGGGAGAAAGCTAATGAGTGCGTGAGTGAGTGAGAAAGTGGGGGGGGGGGATTAAATGCTGGAGGGAGTAAGGGAGTGACTGAATGAGCGAGTGATTGAGCAAGTTAGGGAAGGAGAGAGGGGGTGAGTGTGTGAGTGAATGAATGAGTGATTAGATGAATGAGTGGATAAGTGAGTTAGTAAGTGAGTTGGTGAGTAAGTTAGTGAGTAAGTGAGCGAGGTATCGAGCTTGTTGGTTGGTGGGTTAGGTGGCTATGTGTTTAGTTAATTAGCTAGATAACTAGCTAGTTAATTGGTTAGCAAATTAGCTAGCTCGTCATTTGGTTGGCTAGTTATCTAGCTAGTTAGGTAATCAATTAGTAGTTAGTTAGTTAGCTAGATAGCTAGTTAGTTAGTTAGTTAGTTAGTTAGTTAGTTAGTTAGTTAGTTAGTTAGTTAGTTAGTTAGTTAGTTAGTTAGTTAGTTAGTTAGTTAGTTAGTTAGTTAGTTAGTTAGTTAGTTAGTTTAGTTAGTTAGTTAGTTAGTTAGTTAGTTAGTTAGTTAGTTAGTTAGTTAGTTAGTTAGTTAGTTAGTTAGTTAGTTAGTTAGTTAGTTAGTTAGTTAGTTAGTTAGTTAGTTAGTTAGTTAGCTAACTAGCTAGCTAGTTAGTTAGTTAGTTAGTTAGTTAGTTAGTTAGTTAGTTAGTTAGTTAGTTAGTTAGTTAGTTAGTTAGTTAGTTAGTTAGTTAGTTAGTTAGTTAGTTAGTTTAGTTAGTTAGTTAGTTAGTTAGTTAGTTAGTTAGTTAGTTAGTTAGTTAGTTAGTTAGTTAGTTTAGTTAGTTAGTTTAGCTAGTTAGTTAGTTAGTTAGTTAGTTTAGTTAGTTAGTTAGTTAGTTAGTTAGTTAGTTAGTTAGTTAGTTAGTTAGTTAGTTAGTTAGTTAGTTAGTTAGTTAGTTAGTTAGTTAGTTAGTTAGTTAGTTAGTTAGTTAGTTAGTTAGTTAGTTAGTTAGTTAGTTAGTTAGTTAGTTAGTTAGTTAGTTAGTTAGTTAGTTAGTTAGTTAGTTAGTTAGTTAGTTAGTTAGTTAGCTAGCTAGCTAGCTAGTTAGTTAGTTAGTTAGTTAGTTAGTTAGTTAGTTAGTTAGTTAGTTAGTTAGTTAGTTAGTTAGTTAGTTAGTTAGTTAGTTAGTTAGTTAGTTAGTTAGTTAGTTAGTTAGTTAGTTAGTTAGTTAGTTAGTTAGCTAGCTAGCTAGCTAGTTAGTTAGTTAGTTAGTTAATTATTAGTTAGTTAGTTAGTTAGTTAGTTAGTTAGTTAGTTAGTTAGTTAGTTAGTTAGTTAGTTAGTTAGTTAGTTAGTTAGTTTGTTAGTTAGTTAGTTAGTTAGTTAGTTAGTTAGTTAGTTAGTTAGTTAGTTAGTTAGTTAGTTAGTTAGTTAGTTAGTTAGTTAGTTAGTTAGTTAGTTAGTTAGTTAGTTAGTTAGTTACCGATACGGCCTACTGTCAGGGGGGAACAAAGCTTTGTATAGGGCTAACGTGTAAAGCCGTTGGAGGTTAAATGCAGCCGTTTTTCCCTGTGATATTACTTGATTAATAGAATGTGCTTGATTATTGAGCTGGTCTCTGTCTTTCTTCTAAAACAACAAGGTGCATTTCGTGCACAGCCAGAAACGACTGAACATGTCCGTAGCTACCTCACACCCCTTTGGTCTGGCTGTCGTTGGATTCTTCTTCCAGGTAAGTGTCTATGTGGGCTAACTCTGGCAGTGAATGCTTGTACATGTCAGAAATATTTCAGCCATGTTATGAACGGGAACCAACCATTTACGTCCTCGGATGAATGCAGAGGAAGGAAGAAAGAAAGAAAGAAAGAAAGAAAGAAAGAAAGAAAGAAAGAAAGAAAGAAAGAAAGAAAGAAAGAAAGAAAGAAAGAAAGAAAGAAAGAAAGAAAGAAAGAAAGAAAGAAAGAAAGAAAGAAAGAAAGAAAGAAAGAAAGAAAGAAAGAAAGAAAGAAAGAAAGAAAGAAAGAAAGATAGAAAGAAAGAAAGAAAAAAAGAAAGAAAGAAAGAAAGAAAACCTCGACTAAGATTAAGACAGGTCATTTATTAACAAATGGTTAGATGGGTTGATATGTATGGCACGCGGATGTGAAAGCATTTGACTGTTCCAACCTACTGTGTCCCGAAATCAGTTGCAGATCGTTTGGTAGTGTATGTGTACGTTATTTGGGCAATCGGAACATGTAACTTTAGTCTCTCCAGTCTCCGCCGGTATACACACTGGCTTACTTCCGATTGGTAGCTTCGTTACCTTCGCGCAAGGTCAGTGAGGCGTTGCGTTGATATCGCGTGTTGTATATTTCAGCACGCCAGCGCGTTTAACATTCCAAGAACAAAGAGAAACTTGCAATAACTGAACACCCCTAGAGAGTGCTGCAACCTATGTCACAGACATTCTCTTTATCTGAAGGAAAACGTAAATGCAAGACAACACAGAAGGCAAACAACAGAGCGGGACAAACCCGTAACCTTCAGTAAAGTCGACCAGCCCAACGTGCTTGTGGATGAAAAGTTACCTACTCTATTTGGGTAGACTAACGTGAACCTAACCGGGCAATTTATTTTCACTTTTTTTTTTCCCGCCTGTGGCTGAAAGCGACGTAAAGGCAAAACACCCACTGTCATTATCAAACCATGCGAGTAGAGTACCAGACAACACCTGTACCGAATCATATCTGATCGCCTTATCAGCGGGCTTCAACCAACAACCGCACCTTTGATTTCCTTCTGTAGGGTAGGCCGTTATACCATACATTCGGGTGACATATATCTGTCACACTTTCGGCAATTTATTGCGGATATCGTAAAGTGTGTGCAAATACGAGATAAGTTGCCAAGGCTAGGTTTACCTTGTGTCAAATGTTTGGATACTTGTGTGTGTTCTCGGCTCAGACAACACAGTGGAGAAATGGAACTGTGAGATAGATTGTTTCTATGTGAAAAGGACATGTGCGTGGGAACCTTCGATTGGGAGAGGGAAAGAGGGTGGGGGTGTTACGTAACTTGAGGCCCCCCCCCCCCCCACACACACACATTCACACAAAAAACTTAGAGGCCCCCCCTCTCTCCTAAAAAATGTCTGAGGTTGCTGGTCGACCTGCATAACCAGACTGAGATATTCTCCTCAAAAATAATTAACTCCTTGTCTTATTTATATTACTATTCATTGCATATTATGCATAAATGCCAGAGATTCTGTCTGTATGTACACAATTACCAACTAGTGTTAACCATAGGAACAAGACAACGCAAAGCGAAAATATTCCAGCCCCAAG